CCTGGTTCGGAGGGGCGTTCCTATCGGTGTTCTTTGACCTAGTTCTTGTCATTCTGTTGCGTCTAGTAGCGACGAGGGGTACTCACTTGATCTGTTCTAAGCTCTCAATGAAAGCACCAAATGATAGCGTATTAATTCTAGAGAGAAGTGAGAGCTAGAGAGAGAAAGTGGGTAATTGTATTTCTCAACTTGGAAAGAATCCCCTATAATTAGCCCCTTGGGGTCTATTTATAGGTAAAAATGTAGATTTGGGCCCGTAGCCTTGGGCTTAGGAGGCCCATTACAATAATCATGCCTTCTTTGGGCAAATAAGGCCACTAATGGGCTGAGTACAACACTTAGTACATAAAATAGAAAAATACATTCTGTCCGGGCGAAGTTCGGACGATGCGGTCCATGGACGATGCGGTCCATGGACGATGCGGTCCATGGACGACGCGGTCCATGGATGACGCGGTCCAAATAAACCAGGCGATATCTTCTTTCTTGGACGCTGCATGCCTCTGGCCGATGCGGGTGTCCCGCTGGTGTCTTTTGGGCCATTGAGTATGTGGGCCATGGGGTCCAGGCCCATATACTCTATCAAGTTTTTTTAGAAGTTGGGGGAGACCAGCTTCTGCAATCTGATTCTGATTCTGCTTCTCCTTTAAAAAAGAAGTAGAATCAGAATCAGTTCCAAATTGTGCAAAAGATTAAAATGAAGTAATGATATTGCATTCATTTCACGTGATGATAATCAAATTGTGCGTCTCATGCTCATGATGCTCTTCTGATAATTGTAACTATATATATATATATAGCATTGAGATCAAATACAAATCATGCTTAATTTACAAAGTACAAACTTATCTTGACCATACGATGAGTTGATCTAAAGGATATAAAGGCAAAGTGGCATTTTTGTAATAAAACCTAACTTTTCTAAGGTGCTGATACGCATGTAATTTCCGTATGTATGTTTACGTTTTTAGTTAGTTTTGGTTTCGGAAATTACACACTTTCGGTGTAATAGTTTAGTTTGTTAAATTCTTTAGATTAGGTTTATTCTGAACTCAAACAGGTCTACTATCACTCAAAGGACAGTTGGTGAACCCCAAAAGTGGAAGGAAGGTGCAAAATCACAAGACAAAAGGGAAGATCCTGATTTTTGGTCTATTAATGAATGGTCGATGTTAATAACTATCCTCGATGAATTGGATATACTCCTCGATTGAGTATTCGAGAGGAGATAAGTTATAGATATAACAATGATCGACTAAAATATATCAACAAGTGTAAAGTAGCAATGCCAAGTCCTTTTTATCTTTGAATTAAAACCCATATAACTCGTTCATCTTCGTGTTTAATATTAATCAAATCACTCAATCAAAACCCCCCTTTATTTACTAGTTACATAAAAAGAGAGTTTTTTCCTTTCCCTGTGGACACGAACTCTACTACGCTATACTACGTATTAATGCTAGTATTGAAATTATTTTGAGTGCACACACGACAAAGTGCACGTCAGGTGCAACTCGTTGAACGTTAATGTGCAACTGCTATTTTATGACTATATAATATGCAACACTTTGAACCTCAATATGCAATGCAAATAACGTCATAGGGAGCGGTTTCGGTAAGAACAGATCTTGGGAGAAAAATGAGAACGAATCTGAACCGTTGAATTGTATTATGTGGAACCAAATTGTGCATTTGGTGAAACTGAAATGTGAATTAAATGATATTGAAATGTGCAAAATAAAAATTTAAACTCAAGTGTGCATTAGATGAAACTGATATGGATGACAATAGGTTGTTTGACGTTGGTGGAGGCCCCGAGCCTCAGAAGAAGCAAAAGAAGAGGAAAAGGATGAAGAAGGCCGATCAGGCCAGCTCTTCTCAGGCTGCTCCTCTGGATGTGGAGCAGTCTCAGCCCGTCCAGGAGGTGCAGCCCATTCAGGAGGTTGCCTCCGAACATCAATCTTCGCATGCTGATATGCTGATGGATCATCTCTTTGTCGATCAGCAACCTCATCAGTTCGATGCTCAGGATGCTGGTGCCCATCAAGCCGATCTGGCCGGGCAATTTGAGCGGATCTCCCTCAAAGATCCCGCTCACGATATGTTAGAACGGGGGGGGGGGGGGGGGGGGCTGTTCGGCGAGCCAAATTTGGTCCACCGTTTCTTTCCTTAACGGATTCACCCTTCCCAATCTCCCGGTCGAGCAAGCCGAGGAGTGTGTAGCTTTGACTGCCCCAAAGGTATTTCTTTATCCCAGTCTCCTTTTCAGACTTTCTTTCCCAGTTGTGTGTTCACCTTGTTACTATTGATTGGTCGTGTGCAGATGGGGGTTTACAGTCTACAGCTCCGCGAGGCCCGGCTGGCCAAGGAGCGGGGATTGATTTTGGCGAAGGAGGAGGCTGAACATGCCCTCTCCTCGGCTGTTCAGGCCACCGAGACTGACCGACAGGCATCTGCTGAAGATCGGAGGAAGCTTGAGAGCGAGCTTAGGGAGCTCCGTGTCAAGGTGGCTTCCCTTCAGGCACATATGGCGGCTGCCGAGGCTGCTCAGATTAAATTCTCAGAGGCCCCCTCTCAGATCCCGGACGGTCCCCCAGAGGTGTCGGTGGACCTTACTGCTGTCCGGGAGAATTTTAAGACTTCAGAGGAGTTTTCCACTCTAAAGGAGGAGTATGCCCTCGAGCAGCTCCGTGCTGTCTTTGGGCGACATTTGGCCAAACTTAGTGGTGATGAGCGTCACAAGGAGGGGGTTCAGATGTTCGACCAGCACCCAGTATCCAAGGGGTGGGCCGAAACCCTCGCCCAGGAGGTCTATGGCGCTGGATGCCAACATATGCTGCAGCCAATCCTTCCCCTCTTGGAGAAGCTTCTAGGCCGATCAGTGCAACCATCCAACTTCCCCGACCTGCATCCTGGTCATCTAAATGCTCTGAAGGTCCAACTTGGAAAGTGCAGGCGTGCTTTAGGGATGGAGCCTAAGCAGGTTGAGGATGAAGATGATGATGGTGAGGACGATGAAGAGCAGGGTGCCAGTGATTAGTAGAGTAGAATATATTGATTTATCTTGTACTCTTTCCCTTTGCCATTATATAGATTTTTATAACTTCCGGCCAATAGAGCCGATGAATACAATCAGACTTTTGCCTTTAAATTTGACTCTGTAGTTCTTTTCTTGGTGTTCCGCCTGTGGACTTAGTCCTTTTGGATTAATCACGATGACCAGTCTGTCTGTCCGGGATCCAGGTCCTGACCACCTTTACTTGCTTTCGTGGGAACTTGATTCTGGTTCACCCATTGTTTCCTCCTAGCTCGAGACTATATTCGAGGGCCAAGCCCAATACTTAGGAATTAGCCATTTCTCTAATTTTTTACTCTATTTCGCTCGGCCGATCTGCCCGTCTGGGTTCCCGATCTTAGCAATTTCCAATTCCTGTGATGCGGGTCTAAGCCCAATGTTTTTAGGACTTGGTTATTTTCCTGATTTTCCCCCCCTGTTCGGCTTTCGGGCATGATGGATGTCCGCCGAAGAACTGGTCACTAAGGCGTGGTCATATAGTATGGAAGATCCTTGTGAGGCTGTCCAGGTATCTTTATCCCTAGTTGTGGTCGATTTACAGGCCCTATCTTTATTCTAAATAGTTTTAAGGTGCATTTCCCGTTCGGTGTGTCTTATCGTTTTGGTCCTTGCCTGCTATCGATCTCTGATTTGGATGCCCGTTCGGGGATCTCGTGTGATCGCGATGCTTTTATTGCTTTCAACCGTTTGGCCATGCGTCAGCTATCAATTGGAGCTCTTGGCGGTAGTTTTCCTTTATAAGGATGCAGCTGTTTCCTTTTAGACTTTTTGCTGCTTCTTTAGATTCTTACCTCCTTTAAGCTTTCTCTCTCTAGAAACTTATTTCTTCCTTGGTTTTATGTCTGGTTTCCTTAGCTCTTCTGATTCCGAAGAAATGGCACCCAAGCTAATCTGTCGTTCTAGGGGAAAGGCCCATCCCAGTCATCAAGAAGGCCCTTCTGCTCGATCATCAGGTTCTAATGATTCCTCTTTATCTCCTCGAACAGCCCCTCCCCGATGATGGGTGCACATCTGGTGATGACTTAGTCATCTACGAGAGGGGGATGCCCGAACGCCCCCCTCGTTATAGTTTAAACTTTCATTGTATTAGGAAGCAGCGTCAACGCCTTCCTGCGGATGCCGAACAGTCGCTCCTTCAATTGTTGCCTCCCGCCGCGAGTTTTATGCAGGTTTCATTAAACATCCTATGAGGCACCGCCCAGGATGCGTGCTGGTGCATATGGATGCACGGGTTGCTGGTCTCCGGTTCCCCATGGTCGTTGATTTCTTACGCCGGGTTTCGGTGCTGCCCGCACAGTTTGTGCCTAGCACCTATAGGATTTTGACCGGGTACATCGTCCTGTGTCATGACATGGGCCTCGCCCCGAATGTTGATCTATTCCTATATCATTACAGCTACCAGCCCTCTGTCACGAAATGCACTCATGCCTCTTCTTGCTATGACCATAATTCAGCATTAAATGCGGCTCCCACTTGCTGGCTACCCGTCCGGGTAGCACGTCCGGTGTGCGGGACCCCCTTTGAGGGTGTTTGATGCCAGTATTCCGTTGATTGTCTCAAGTGGACAAATCCACCCGAATGCCGTTCAGGTATCCCCGTTTGGGACGTCTTGGGCCTTCTGATTCTGATTGGCCTCCTGTTTTTTCTGGGCCTTCTTTATGCTTTGGGCCGGACGTATTGGGCTTGGGCCCAATACCCCAACAGTACATTAAGATCACGGATGATGATAAATTGATAGGTTTGGAGATTATTTGAGATAATGTTATATGAAAATGACATGACAATAAGAATACATAAAAACCGTTAACTTAAGTATGATGAATGAAGCTGCACTTATGATTGGATATAACATTCCCACTCATTTATTAACACGTGTCATCATGATTTTATTGTTGAAAGTATAACATTTTTTTACTTTTTTTAGAGATGCTCTAATCTCAGATCTGCCATTAAAAGCGTTTATTGCTTTCCCATTCGCGTGCGCAGTGCGTGCGGGACACGCGCCTGCGCTGGAACAATTCTGGTTGCTGAGCTCTTTCTTGCGCGTTGCAGGTGATGGAGCCCTAGTCTGAATTTGTTGTCTGGCAGTGGTGAATAGCCCCAAATGTGGGTTTTTGAGCTATTCCTACCCACTTCATTAATGAGCTGCAAACCAAAGGTTGCGCATCAAGTACCGAGGGAAGCTATGATATCACTGAGAGCGTCGAAGACTGACTTTCCGGCGGAGGTTCTGAGGAAATAAAGTTATGGCCGGAAAATGTGAAGGGCCGGCGATCGGAATCGACTTGGGAACGACGTACTCGAGCGTCGGAGTGTGGCGACACAACCGTGTAGAGATTATAGCGAATGACCACGGGAACAAAAAGACGCCGTCCTGCCTGGCGTTCACGGACGCCGGCCTTCTCATTGGCGAGGACGCTAAGAACACAGTTTCCCTGAACCCAATTAACACTGTCGTTGGTACGCTCCTTTCCTTGGTGCTTATATTATTTTTGTTTTACTTTATTATAGCAACATTTCTACCATATTTAGCTAATTTGAAGGTCTGGGGATTTTAGGCTTTATGCTGTATTGATTGAGAGAGTAACAGAAAAAGACTTGTTCCGTATACTGCATTGCTATTGATTCTGGCAGTTTCTTCATGGAACCTAACTGTGATTTCAAATCTGCCTTATTTGAATTACTTTAGATGCTAAGCGTTTGATAGGGAGGAGATTCAGCGATCCCTTAGTACAGAGTGATATTAAGCTGTGGCCTTTCAAGGTGATTGCCACACCTGGTGACAAACCTAGGATTGTAGTCAAATACAAGGGTGAGGAGAAGCAGTTTTCTGTCAGGGAAATCACTTCCATGGTTATAACAAAGATGAAGGAGATTGCAGAGGCTTATCTGGGAACCTCAATCAAGAATGTGGTGATCACTGTCCCTGCACACTTCAATGACTCCCAAAGATGGGCCACTAAGAATGCCGGAGTCATCTCTGGCCTCAATGTTATGCGTATCATCAACGAACCCACCGCAGCTGCAATTGCATATGGTCTGGATAAGAAAGCAAGCAGCTCGGGCGAGAAGAACGTCCTCATCTTCGACCTCGGCGGTGGTACTTTTGATGTCTCTCTTATCACGATAGAAGAGTTAATCTTTGAGGTCAAGGCCACTGCAGGTGACACTCATTTGGGAGGTGAAGACTTCGACAACAGACTGGTGGACCACTTTGTTCTTGAGTTCAAGAGTAAACACGAGAAGGATATCAGTGGAAACCCTAGGGCATTGAGGAGACTGAGGACAGCGTGTGAGAGGGCAAAGAGGAATTTGTCCTGCGCTTCTCAGACCACCATTGAACTTGATTCTTTGTTTGAGGGTATTGATTTTTACCCAACCATTACGAGGGCACAGTTTGAGGAGTTGAACATGGATTTGTTCAGGAAGTGTATCGGATCAGTTGATAAGTGTCTGAGAGATGCGAAGATGCATAAGAGGAATGTCCATGATGTTGTCCTTGTGGGCGGATCTACTAGGATCCCCGTGATTCAACAGTTGTTGCAGGATTTCTTCACTGGGAAGGTATTATGCAAAAGCATCAACCCTGATGAAGCGGTTGCATATGGTGCCGCGGTGCATGCTGCAATGTTAGGCGGAGAAGGTGTCTGGGAGGTTCAAGATTTGTGCGTGTTGGATGTCACTCCACTGTCTCTATGTGTGAAGAAGACTGGTGATTTTCTGAAAGTTCTGATCCCGGGGAACACAATCGTCCCCATCACTAAAGAGCATATTGTCCACACTAAGTCAGACAACCAGCGTGGCATGCTGATCCAGGTCTACGAGGGGGACAAGGCCATGACAGAGGACAAAAATTTGTTGGGCAAATTCGTGCTGTCGGGCATTCCACCAGCCCCAAAGGGTGTCGCGCGGATCTCTGTCCGCTTTGACTTTGATGCTAACGGTATTCTAAACATCTCTGCAGAAGACAAAACGGAAGGACATATGGGTAAGATCACCCTCAACAAAGTTAAGGGAAGGCTCTCCATGGATGAAATGGACAGAATGGCGGTATGTTCTGCCTGGCATTCTCTCGTTTTTTTTGTTATCAGTAGGTGATCTTGACTTTGTCAACTTATAATAGGTCCCCAAGAATCCACCTTAAGTCCTTTAGAGAAGTAAATCTGAGCCATTCGAACAATCCGCTAGATTCCCACCGCCATTTATAGTCTTACGTGCACAAGAAATCGTTCTTAACAGATTAATTGTGTGTGTTATCAGGTTCCCAGCACAGTTCTTAGGAGAACTGCCACTTATTGGTCAAACACCATCAACATTAAGTTCCCAACAAAAAGTTATTCCCAACTACGGCTTCAGTCGAGACAAAACTCTAATTGCACAACCACTCAAACTAGCCCCGGGGTTAGAGGATCATCATTTAAGAAAAGCCTCCCAAATTCACCTCTTTAGTGACTTGAACTCAAGACCCCCTACGTAAAAATCTTAAGCGTGGAAAGTGGTCCACCTGGACCACTCCCACTTGCTTCCTCCCCTTAATGGATTAACCATGTCTTATCCTATGTTCTTTGTTTTCTAAAAGCCAGACTCATTCAAGTGCACAGCTTCGAGTGTCAAAACGTCCTAGACCAGAGGAGGCTGTCAATTCCTCGGTACTCCAAGGTGAGGTAGATATCGAGGAGTTCACTAAGAGATGGCTTCCCCCACAGGACCAGCAACTGTTAGGGACTCTCAAGCTCCCCACTTTAGAGGAAGGCGTAATGCGCCGCTGTTTGAGGTTAACTTCTCTCTCTCTCTCTCTCTCTCTCTCTCTCTCTATCTCTCATTCTTGTGAACTTTGAGTGTAATACGACATTAATATCCTATCCCTTACCGGTTGCAGGCATTGTTCCGCCGTTTTGTGGAATTATCTCAAAGGACCAATCGGGAGATGATCCTCCAGAAAAGGGTTGTCGACCTGGAGAGGGAAAACAAAGGCCTTTTAGACAAGATGGAGGAGTACAAGAAGCAGATGGAGAAGTGGAATGAGAAGGCTCAGACCTCTTCCATTGAGGCTGTGAGGGCCTTCAAAATGTCCCAGGAGTATGCCCAAGCCATCAACAAAGCGGCGAAGGCTCGAATGAAAGAAATTGTATTTGAGTGGCTAGAGACTGAAGAGGGCCGGGAGAAGAGCTCGGGACAAAGTCCACCTCCCACTCATAACTGATATAATAATATCTTACAACTAAACGGAATACATTATTTAATGCAAGAACTAGCGGTTTAGACAGACGTGGAAAGATGCGCATGTGACTCACAGTGATTACCTTTGATCAAAAGGTGATGTCATATTTCGTGAAATATGATCTTGTCATGTTTGCATCTTGTAAGACTAGTCTTTGTGTACCTGTAACTTGGTCCTTTATGACACATGCATTTCTTGAGAGTAGTCTTTTTATACCTATTTCATGGTCCTTTACCACCTATTCATTTTGCAAAACTAATATATTTTACACGTAAGCATTTCATAAGACTAGTCTTTTTGCCACATATGCATCTTGTAAGACTAGTCTCTTATCTTATGTATTTATCCTTTTACTATATAAATACTCCCTCCATCCCGTAAAATTCTTCCCGCTTGCCTCTTTGGGATGTCCCAAAAAAATTCCCATTTCCCTTTTTGAAAAGTTTTGTGTGGCTAACATTCAAAAAAATTCCCATTTCCCTTTTCTTACTCAATTACAACCATACATTTCCACTTTATTTCCACTTTCTTAAACTCCGATCCAAGTCAAACCAGGAAGAATTTTATGGGATTGAGGGAGTATATATATTAAGCTGGATAATTTGGACATTATCTGCTTAAGAGGCAACTGAAGTTACAGTTTCTTTATGACCTCACCAAAACCGGTAGCATTTACTGAAACGACGATGATCTGTCTGAATGTAAGAATGTTATTGATTATCATATCATATTGCATCACAAACAACGGATACCATATTTCCATGAATTTTAAGGCTTTTGTTTTACAAGGAAAGGGTGTGGTTTGCCTCATTGCTGAAAGAAGCCTCACAGCTATTGCTGAGGCAATATCATTCTTAACATAAGCTGCCAGGGGAGAACCCAGAAGCTGAGATGCAGCGTTCAGAGCTCCCATGGTCGCACTATAGAAATTCGAACACTGAAAGTAAGCTACAAGGTTAGGATCATTTGGCTGGTTCATAAAACTCTTGATTTTATCGCTCATTCCCAATGCATTGTTGGCTGCTTGCTAGACTGCGGTTCAGAGAAGTTGTTTTGACAATTTGGAAGCACCTGCGACCAGAACATGAATGCAGAAACTTGGGTCTATGGTTTTAGCACACAGAGCTTGTATGGTTTGTTTACCTGTGTATGGATTCACAAAGAAGAAGAAAAGGCTTAGGAATATCAGAGAGGTTATACATATTGCAAAGTTGGCCATTGTTTTAGTAGGGATCTTGACTTTTGAGATTTAACATTATTTAGTGTCAAAGTAGGATGAATTTAAGTTTGTGATAGAGATTCGCCCAAATACGGAAGTTGTTTCACTTCCTTTATGGAATGATTATCTGCCGTTTTCTGCTTCTTGTAACAGTTTTACCACATCAGTAATAAATACTCCATCCGTATCAAATTAATTGACCCGTTTGCTTTTCACGCAGTTTAAGACAATTACTGTAGACTTTATTAAAAGTAAGAGGTTTTTGATACTGTAGCGACATGTAGCGGTACTGTAGCAGTACTGTAGCTGCTTTTTGAGTGGGATTCTTTCCAAAAAGGGAAAGAGGTCAATTAAATTGATACACCAAAAAAGGAAAGTGGGTCAAGTAATTTGATACGGAGGGAGTACGTAGTAATTTATTTTTTCGTTTAATTTATATTTTTGGTTAACAATGGGAACCCACTGTTGACTCAATAAGATGGGCGGGCGCATCGGATCTTGCGTAACAAGTTAGCTTGTATCTAAACTTCGGGTACTTATGACCAAGAAGACATATCTCACAAGTCTCTACCTTCTAAATCATACATTCTATTGTACTTATTAATAAAGCAATTGAAAATGAAAATATGTGATTGAAATTCGAGTACAAAAGAATGAAATGATAAGAACAGACATAGTAGTATTTCTTTTCTTAAAAGGAAACATTTAGATTATTTTGAGCCAGTCTAAAAATGAAACATTAATTTTATTTCAAAAATGAAATAGTGAAAAAACTAGTTCTAAATGGGTATATATAAACCATTTAAATTTTATCATTTTCAAATATTCATAAAATCATTGTTTTGGAAATATTTTTGTAATATTAAACGACTTCATGAGATTCAGTTTTCGTGAGTTTAGAAGTGCCACACCTCATCCCCTTTCAATACGAGATGTTACTTTTTCCAGTATCTGATTTTGGACTGAAAAATCTCTTACTTCAATCTGTTTAGACACTATGCGATTGATTGGGAGGAGATTCAGTGATCCCTAAGTGCTGAGTGACATGAAGTTATGGCCTTTCAAGGTGGTTGCTAGACCACCTCGTGACAAGCCAATGATAGTAGTGACCTACAATGGTTCTAACCAGGATGAAGGAGATTGCAGAGGCCTATCTCAGAACAGCAATCAAGAATGCAGTGTTCACTGTCCCTGCTTACTTCAACCACTCCCAAGGCCAGGCTACGAAGGTTGCTGGAGTCATTTCCGGTCTCAATGTTATGTCCATCATTGATGAACCCTGCAACAGCTGCAATTGCATATTATTTTGACAAGAAAGCAAGCAGCTTGTGGAAGAAGAATGTGCTTGTCTTCGATATTGGCGGTTGTACGTACTTGTGATGTTTCTCTGCTCACAATAGAAGATGGAGTCTTTGAGGTTAAAGCCACTGCTGGTGACACTCTCCTGGGAGGTGTAGATTTTGACTACAGCATGTAAACCACTTTGTTCATGAGCTTAAAAGGTGGCACAAAAATAACATCAGAGAAAACCACTGGGCATTGATGAGGCTAAGGTCAGAACGCAAGAGAAGAATGACTTTGTCTTCCTCCTCTCAGGCTACCAATGGATTGGATTCATTGTTCCAGAGCATTAGGTGTTACACTCATAAGTGGAACTGTGGAAGAACAACAAGATATTTAAGAAATATATAACTAATAACTTTACAAGCTCAAATGGTCTCTCAACAAGTTGCTACACCAAGATAGAAGAGCACTTTTTTAGTATGTAGAAATCGTATAATAACCATTCATGGGATAAATGAGCACTTATAATAATAATAAAATAACAATTTCGTATAACAATCGCCTATTTTTTTGCAAGAAAAAATAAGTGATTGTCTATATCCTACCTAGTACCTACAAGAAAAAATCAGATGATTTTAAATCATCGAATTACTAATCATAGGAAATGAACATTATGAGAAGGTATATTCAAGCAATGAAACCTATTGCATTCCTCGTGCTAATTTCACAAACACTAACACCTTTAACATATCATTTTTAACTTACCCCTCATTGATGCTTATGATTTTTGTAAAGATGAGGCTACTTAACTTAGCATTAATATGATCTTATATATTCCTTCATTTAAGCCTCATTGATCAGCATAGTTAATATACATACTTAATTATTTCGGTATAATTTACATAAAATACAGCTAATATTTTACGGTGTATGCATTCACTAAAAATTATACTCCGTATAATTAGTCACTCATTTACAATAACACTAGTAATAATGTTCTTAACCGGTCTCTGATTTGGTTTGAACTGGTCTAGTCTAATTTGATAGATGTCTATTATATGTATATTTTACAACTATCAAAGTCTAGTCTGATTTGATCTGATATGGTCTGTTCAAGTCTGATCTGGTCCGGCCCGTGACTAGAAGTCTAGAACCAATCCAATTAAACACATTATAATTATCAATAGTTTTTCTTATAACCTTACTTTTTATAAGAAAAAACAAGATGAAATCCAAAATTGTAAAACGTTTTTCTTCATGAAAGTTTTCATACCAATTTCGGTATAAGAAAATTATTATACTCATCAAAAAGAGGTATTAAGTCAAATTACTACCTGCACCAAAATAATCATGCACCAAATATGAATACACAACTAAACTTGTTTCTATATTATATTTTATACTATTGTATTTTAGGTCCAATTGTTAAATCTGAGATACCATGGGCTGGAAATGAATTATACTGGGTATAAATATTAGCGGGATGAGAAAAATGTGAAAAATGAAAAAATTACTCTAAATAAATGGAAAAAAATCTAAGTTGCCTTGCGCTTCAACTTATAATAGCTTGTATATAGATCCTTCCCTGGAGAGAGTATATATAAATTAGTCACTCATTTACCTTTACACTAGTAAGGATTTTTTAATTGGACTATAATTACACAGGTTGGTCTAATCTGATTTTATTTGATACGTAACATGTTTAAGTCTGACCTGGTCTGAACTGATCTAATCTGGTTTGACATATGTCCGTTCTATGTGTATTTTACAACTATCATTAATTAACAATTGGGCTTAAAATACTACATACACCAAAATATATGATATTCCTACTTTCGTATAGCGCAAAGTCACTAACAATTCTTTGATACTAACCACAGGCGGTGATCATTATATATCGGTTGCAGATGCAACGATAGGTGTCGTGGTGAGTGGGGGCGGTTGGACGGCCGTGGATGGGTGGGAGCCGTAAGAGGGTATTAATTACTTATTATTTTTAAAATGCATGATTAGAATTGTAAAATCTTGTACTTCCTTCGTCCCTAAATTAACGTCTCAATTTGATTTTTTGAGTCAAATTTTTAAACTAGTGCATTTACTCCTTAATCCTTAATCATACTACCTCCGTCCCAATTTACTTAGCCAAACTTGACTTTTCAAGTCAACGGCGTCTAACTTTGATCAATTAATTTAACTAATATATTTAGAAATAATTACATAAATATGATCAAAATAAAGATGATTTACAAAAATATGATTAGTGACTAGAGTAGTAATGAAATCATAGTAATTCATGTTCAAGTTTTGAACTTAAGTTACCACAACACCACATTGTAGTAATGAATAGTCATATTTATGTAAATATGTTTTATTTTAGTAATATTATTGTAAAAAACCCATATATTTATGCAAAATTTAATAATTTTATACTTTTATGATAGTATTTTTAACAAAGAACATTTTCATATTATTTTTATATTATCAATACTTTCTCTATATACACATATAATCTGTCAATACTTTGGGAAAGAAAATCACAATACTTTGAGATTCCAAATTTTATTTATTCCTATTTGAGGAAATTTGCCTACTATTTATGACTTTTAGGAGGCGGGAGGAAGCATAGTTTACTGCGCTTTATGATCGAGCCTTGATCATACTATAATTAGACCTACATCCTCGGCACACCAAAAGCACAATAGTTTTCGTAAGCTTCTCCCGAAGTCTTAGCCGGGGTTAGTACGTGGAGTTAAAGTTATGGTCGGCGGCAAAGGTGAAGGGCCGGCGATCGGAATCGACTTGGGCACGACGTACTCAAGCGTCGGAGTGTGGCGAGACAACCGCGTAGAGATTATAGCGGATGAACACGGGAATAGAACGACGCCGTCCTGCGTCGCGTTTACCGACACCGGCCTTCTCATTGGTGAGGCCGCCAAAAACCCAGCCTCCATGAACCCCATTAACACCGTCGTCGGTACGTTCCTCATTCAGTATATGTATTTCCAGGTTTTGAATTATATACGCCAGAAATATGATTTCTAAAAACATGCTCCGTAGAATATTATGGAAACACAATTTACACTGCGTTGGTATGGTCTCAAAGGAAAGAATAGCTATTCATGGAGACTTTTAAATATTAATTGTATTATTAAATGGATAAATACTACTACCTCCGTCCATTTTATGTGTCTCATTTGGTTTTGGCACAATTAAATGTTGTGAACCACATATTTCTTTCCAAAAAAGGAAAGTGACACTTATTTTGGGACAACCCAAAAAGGAAAGTAAGACAGGTAAAATGGTACGGAGGGAGTACAAGAGTACAAGAGTATGAATGTATTGTATGATATTTAAGATACAGAGTACTACCTATAAATATTTTTTTATAAATATTTTTCATATATACACATACTTTTCATTTATATATATGTTCATATTTTGTACAATATAACTTGTTCAGTAAGTCTTTAATAAGAAAAAACTGTCAAATAAATCTTTGTACTATCTTCAATAAGTCAACTAATTTCTTTTACTTTTCTTGTCAAAGTTTGATAGTTTAATTGATTGATTTTAAAGGAGACCTAATTGACTTATCGACCATATTACTTGACAATTTAGCCTCATTAATAAATACTAAGTACGGAGTATTCTATATGTTCAAGTTTAGAAATTAGTGTTATACACATAACACATTAGTACATAATTAAACATCAAATGCATTACATAATTACATTTCTAACCATGCATTAATGCATTATGACTGTCTTATGAAATGAGACAATATTGCTCGGAAATAATACCATAAAATTTACTAATACTATTAAAGACACTATTTTATCACAATCCCATAAGAAGAAAGGTGAAACCTCAGGGCTTCCCAAACTCTGAATGTTTATGAGTTTCTCAATTCTTTTTTAAACTGATTCCAAACAAGAATTCAGTTTATGAAGCTACCAAGTTTCTGACATGCTAATGCCTAATGGATTTCGAAACGGATAAACATGAGACGTGGAAAGGTATTGTAAGATGTATGCGAGCAAGATGAAAAGAGTGATTTTGTATACATTTAAGAACATCTTTGCTAAATTTGTAAAATAATGAATGAAGTAGTTGAATTGGCTGAATGCGTTGAGCAGTTCTTTTCATCACTTTCCGTCAATTCAGCCAACAAAATAACTTTCTTGGCAATGAAAAATGGTTCATCCCGAGCATGATAATTGACCGTTAAGATTGATAAGTCAAAAATAGAAGTTAGGCAAGGCATTTGCTGGATGGAATTTAGATGTGATTAGAGCTACCCCTTACTTTTGAATTACTGTAGATGTTAAGCGCTTGATTGGGAGGAGGTTCAGCGATCCCTTGGTACAGAGTGACATGAAGTTATGGCCATTCAAGGTAATTGCTGGTCCCCGTGACATGCCAATGATAGTAGTGAAATACAAGGGTGAGGAAAAACAGTTTTCGGCAGAGGAAATCCTATCCATGGTTCTAACAAAGATGAAGGAGACTGCTGAGGCTTATCTTGGAACCAGAATAAAAAATGCAGTGGTCACTGTCCCCGCTTACTTCAATGATTCCCAGCGGCAGGCCACAAAGGATGCTGGAACTATATCCGGTCTGAATGTTATGCGTATCACCAATGAACCCACTGCAGCTGCAATTGCATATGTTCTGGACAAGAAAACAAGCAGCTCGGGCAAGAAGAACGTCCTCATCTTCGACCTCGGTGGTGGTACTCTTGATGTCTCTCTTATCACGATAGAAAACTTCATCCTGGAGGTTAAGTCCACTGCAGGTGACACTCATTTGGGAGGTGAAGATTTCAACAACAGAATGGTGAACCACTTTGTTCAGGAATTCAAGCGGAAACATAAGAAGGATATCAGTGGAAACCCTGGGGCATTGAGTAGGCTGAGGACAGCGTGCGAGAGTGCAAAGAGGACTCTGTCATCAACTGCCCAGACAACCATTGGAATCGATTCATTGTTTGAGGGTATTGGATTTTACACAACCATTGCAAGGGAGTGGTTCGAGGAGTTGAACAAGGATCTATTCAGGAAGTGTATGCTGCCGATTGAAAGGTGTCTGAGAGATGCGGAGATGGATAAGAACAGCGTCGATGCTGTTGTTCTTGTGGGTGGATCCACTAGGATCCCTAAGGTTCAACAATTGCTGCAGGATTTCTTCAATGGCAAAGACCTCTGCAAGAGCATCAACCCCGATGAAGCTGTTGCCTATGGTGCTACTGTACGAGCTGCCCTTCAGAGCGGAGAAGCGAATCAGAAGGTTCAGGATTTGTTGGTGTTGGATGTCACTCCCTTCTCCATTGGCGTGGAGACGGAGGGCGGTGTTATGACAGTTTTGATCCCTAGGAACACAACCATTTCCACTAGGAAGGAGCTAATTTTCTCCAGTTATTCTGACAACCAGCCAAGTGTGCTGATCAAGGTCTTTGAGGGAGAGAGAACTATGACAAAGGACAACAACCTATTGGGAAAATTTGAGTTGTCCAACATACCGCCAGCCCCTAACGGTGTTCTAGATATCACTTTGTGCTTCGAAATCGATGCCAACGGTATTCTAGACGTCTCAGTGGTTGACAACACGACCAGTCAAATGGGCAATATCACAATCATTAAAGATAAGGGAAGGCTCTCAATTGATGAAATTTTTAGAATAAAGGGATCTTCTCTTTGGCGTTCTCTATCTTCTTCCACTTCAGTTCTCCAAATGGAGGAAGATATCAATGAGTTCTTCAAGAGTTGGGAGTCACCGGAGAACGAGCAATTGCTAGGGTCTCTAGAATTCACCGATGCAATGGGAAGTGCAATGCATTGCTTGACTCAGGTTAGCTTCTCTGTCACTCACTCTATTCAACCTTGATTGAACACGCCATTAGTACATTGTCCCTGGTTTTTTGCAGGCTGTGATCTATTTCGTACTATTTTATCAAAGGAGTAACCAGGAGATGGAGATCCAACAAAAAAGGATTGTCGAACTGGAGAAGGAAAACACAGCCCTCTTAGACAAGATGGAGGGGTACAGCGAGCAAATTAAGGCATGGAAAGAGAAAGCTCAGACTTCTGCAATCGAGGCTGTGAGTTCTTTCAAAAGGTCCCACGAGTATGCCCAAGCCATGGAATACGCGGGGAGGGCTCGGATGAAAGACATTGTACATGAGTGGCTGAAGGATGAAGAGGGCCGGGAGAAGAGGCGGAAGAGCTCTGGACAAACTCCCCCTTCCACTCAAAACTGATATGAAACTGTCTTACAACTAACAAAAATATATGATTAAGGATTAAGGAGTATATTGCAAGAACTATTAGTTTAGACAGTCTTGGAAAAATGAACTAGTGGCTCATGCGATTACCTGTGATCAAAAGTTGATGATATGTGTTGTGATTTTTGAAATATGATCTTGCTACATATGCATTTTAAAACACTAGTCTTTTTGTACATTTTTGTTGTTTGTACATATCAGATGGTCCCTTACAGACTACCATTTTTTGTACCCATGGCTTTGTTTTTTACCAATACGGTTCACTAAGAGCCTTGGTGCATTGGTGATGAGGTGGCAAATAATGAAAACAGTCTATTTAATGTGGGCCGAGCATCTATAGAAAGAGAGTATATCAAGACTCCAATGATTTATGATGGTTATAGTTGAATAGCTTTATAACTGAGTAGCTGATCCATGTAGGACCTCTGAATAACTCTCAGAAAAATGATTGATTACATTGATGCACTATATTCTCTCACTATTTTGTTCATGGCAGGCTATTGGATTTGAATATGGTATATAAGTGTGAGAATAAGAGAATTGAGTACTCAACTTGGGGTTGAAGGGTTGGTGTTGAGTATGTAGCAGGGTTGAGTTTCATATATAAGTTTGAGATCACTTCTTTACGATCTATTTGGGTGAGTTAGAGCTTGATTATCAATTTCAAATAGAGAAAAATATCAATCTTTTTGTCTTTCAAGTTTCATTATAATTTATAAATGATCTTTCTTGTAGGTTGTACCAGATGTCCCGAAGACCATGGACAAAATCCAGCTACATGATGTTTGCTATCACTATTGATGATTTTGGGGCCTCAACTTGGAGTTGATTTGGTAGATATCTATGCTAACTCTTCACTTTATTAGTAAGTAAATTAAAGAGGCTAGACAACTGATCATAAGTAGTTCGTATATCCAAGAGAGAAACTGGTAATTTTGAAACATCTCAAAATTTTGCTTTATTTTCTGTTTGGTTTGTGACATACAGACACAAACTAGTAAAGATATTTCTTGAAATCAGGTTCCATACTACTGCCCTTCTTTAGTAAGTCTAAATAGTTAGGAAATTTAGTGTTTTTCATTGAAATTAAATACATTATGATTAGGAGGCCGTTTGGCAACAATGTTTTTCGGTTTATCAGGCTTATCAGCCAACTTTTTCACAACACACGTAACTTTACTTTCGCGTGCTGGATTTTATAATAAGCAGAAAAAACAAAGTTGGAGTTACTTTTTTGGCTGTATTGGCTGAAGTTACTGTAGATAATCATTTTAGCTATGTTTACATATAATATTTTCTTTATATTACCAATAAAATATATTTTAAAAATGATTTGTTCTTAAATCAGCAGAATCAGCCAATGCAGCCACTTCAGCCAGAACTTCATAAATTTCAGCAGAATCAGCCAAAACAACCGATTTTTGATGCTACCAAACGGGCTCTATGACTATTTGGGTAGAGAATATATGTTTGTATACATGTAGTGCTGTTATGGAAATCGAGCTCAGCTCGAGCTCGACTCGACTCGACTCGATTAAACTCGGGCTCGGCTCGTATATTAGAGAAAACGAGTCGAGTTCGAACTCTTTTGTTTACTCGATAAAGTTCACGAGCCGAGCTGGCTCGACTCGATAAAACCCGGTGAAGCTCGATAGGGCTCGTGAGGTGGGCATATTGTCATGGGTTTTTCGAGTATGATGATATTGTAGTTAATACATGGGTTTTTCGAGTTCGAGTTGTCGAGCTCGAGCTCGAGTAGCTTGACTCGGGTATATTAACGAGTCGAGCTCGAGTTGTAAATTACTTTAACGAGCCGAGTTCGAGCTCAAATACAGAATCGAAATTTAACGAGCCGAGCTCGAGCCAGGCTCGAAATTTGAGCGAGTCGAGTTCGAATGTGTGATACTCGGGCTCGGCTCGGCTCGAATAACAGCACTATATACATGCCACAGTGAACTAGTCTATAAAATCCCTAATTATTAATAATTTTTAAATAGGGTTTTTTATTAAATGTGTGTGATGCTATATACATTTTACTAAATTTAACTAATAATAAAAGTTTATGGTTTTAGATGCAAGGTTCGAATTTGTGTTAGAGGAAGATCTTAAGAGAGGTTTTAATATCGACGGCACATCATGAAGAATGGCCTAAAAGCATTACCGTATGATTTGAGAAGAGGAAAAGAGTTGAGAATTTGAGATGATGTTTCAAGCGGAAGATTTATTAGTTTTACCATTACTTTGGAAATTAGAATTAAGATTTAAATGATTACGTGTAAGCTAGAGTTTAGGTTGTACTCTCCGTCCCCTTTTAAATGTCCCGGAAGAGGGTGACACGAGTTTTAAGAAAAGTGTGTTTGTGTGGTTGAGATTAATTTATAAAGTAAGAATAAAGTAAGAATGATTTTGAGCCACACAAACTTTACCAAATAAGGAATTAGACAATTAAATAAAGACATCCCAATATGATAAAATGAGACATTCAAAAGGTGACGGGGAGTATCATGTAAGACAAATTGATACTACATGTCTATACGTGTAGCATATTGTTGTAATATAATATGTAGTACTACGTATGTTATAAAAATCATTTATTGGAATATACTACCTCCGTCCTTTAAAACTTTGCCAAGTTTGACCGGCACGGAGAATAATAAAGTAAAAACTGTGTGGTTGAAGTTTGTGCAGAGGAGAGAGAAATAACAGGAACCACAAAATATTGATTAAAAGGGAAAGTGGCAAAGTTTTTTGGGACGTCCAAAAAAGGAAAGATAGCAAAGTTTTAAGGGACGGAGGGAGTATATTTTACATAATGTGGCTTGTGCAAACAAATTTGTTGCCATTTCGCAAATGAAATAGTCGCCATTTTGCAAAATGTCTTTTGTGTTCGCAAATAGTCTTCAACGATCACCTTTCAAGATTTTGCGAACATTTGTTGTTCGCTAATGGGCCTTTTCTTGTAATGTATGTTGTCGTCGTAAAGACGAGTGAGTTTCTTATTGTTAATAAATAACAACGACGAGATCTTGTTCCGTCATTAATAATTAACGACGAACTTTGTCGTCAAAACTAATAACGACGGAGGCTATAACAATCACTTCACGACAAAAAAAAGTGGTCGTTAAAAACTTTGTTGGGGAATATTATTCCGGTCTATCACTGTTCTGAGGCCCAAGACATATATCGCCCCGATAAGGAGCCCAGTCGGCGAGGCCCAATTGGGCCTACCTGGCCCATTTAGGCCTATTAGCCCGTTAGAATAGCCCTAAAACCCCTTCCCCCTCCTATAAATAGGAAGTCTAGCTTCCTGATTTTGGGGATCCTTTTTGGAGCTTCCTTCTCCCCCGGCCTCCCCTTTACTGTTTCTTCTCCTTTCTTGATAGATTAGCAACCAAGCTCCATTAATGAAGGTTCCAAATATGTACTATGTAAAATGGTGAGGAAAGCATATTAATGGGAAAGAGCGGATTTGGACGTTAGCCTAAAAAGTCTCGTGGTTTTCTCCCTTTCCGGATTTTCATGTAAAAATAGCTAGTTCATACACTTTTATATATTTATTCACTTTTATACCGAATCCATCGTCCTTAATATCCAAAGTTTATGTTGGGCTTTAAACGACCAACTTCTGGGTCTATAATGACAATATTTTTCATTGTTAAAAGCACTTTTTCTAGTAGTGAACAAAGTGTGTCATATTTGCAGGGACTAAAAACATATTTTAGGCCTTTATGTTTTTTCTTCTTTCTTCTTTTATTTCTTCTTGTTATCTTAATTTCATCATCAATATGTTTTTTCTCCTTTCTTCATTATTGTATTTTTCTAAGTGAATTCACCATTAATTCCATCACTAGTGGAAAAAACTCTATGTGATAAAAAGATTATGGAAAAATAAAACATTTGAGAAATGTAAAGAAAAATAAAACATTAGAGAAAATGTATTTTTTCTTTCATTTTAGCTAATATTTTATTTTTCTTTTAATTTATTTTTCTCTAATCTTTTTGTCACATGCAGCTTTTCACATAGTTGATGAAATTAATAAGTGGACTTACTTAGAAAAATAGATAATGCACGCAGAAAGGAGACAACATATATTGATGGTGGAATTAAGATAAAAAGAAAAATGAAGAGAAAAACATAAAAAAAAAAGAGTAACAAGAAGAAAAAAGTGAGAAAGTGAAAATAAAAATTAAAGAAAATATACCAAAAAATAGAGTGAGAAAAAGATATTTAAGAAGAAGATAACGATTAAGACGAGAAACATAGAATAAGGAAATAAAAAAAATATGAGAAGAAAAAAATGACAAAAAAAGCTATTTGGCAGGGAAAGTTTACAACAAAAAACTCTCCTAATAGAGTGAGAATTAGAATAATAAAAATGGAAAAGAAATAAGAAAAAGGATAGAAAAAAGAATAAAAAATTGTCTAGGAATGAAATTAAAGAAAGAAAAAATTTAGGGGAAAAAAATGAAACGTGAGATTATTTAAGTAAGCTTTTCAAAGAAAGGGTAAAAAACCTAGTATAGCAGATCATCACCCGGTTAGGGTCGAATGAAAGAAGGTGAGATTAGGGGTGTGCACGGTCCGGGTCGGTTCAAATAATTGATAAATTTTCAAGAATTGCCGTTTCCATGTAGCGGGTAGGTTCGGTTCGGGTATACCAAGTTTCGAAATAGAAACCGAATCTTACTTGAACCTTACTCTTTTTTTTGTAAACAAAATACAACTATGCAAACAAAGTTTTTAGTAAGTCATAAAATTCTCAAATTAATTACGTATTGATGAAACCATAGTACAGTAAAAATTCAAAATAAAAGTATGAAATAACATTTTAAATTAGTTAACAAAACATCAAACCAGTGAGTTCATAGGATTGAAGAATGCCAATTCTAACCCACCGTGAAATGAGATGAAATGGGGTAGTCCTATGAAATTCGACTAATTTTGACTTTGTCCGTAGCCAATTAAATTTTCTTTTAAACAATAATTGATGAATTCATGTCAATTCATTTTGCCGACAATTTAAATATAAACTTTACGCACATATTAGGTACACATACCGGTAAAAGTATGAAACAACATTTTAAATTAGTTAACAAAACATCAAACCACAAATTTATAAATTACACACACAACCACCTTAATTAAAATGTTAATCCCCATTCATAAACCAACAAAAAATTGTGAGATTATACTTTGTCGATCTTTCCAATTCAAAATATGAATGAGAGCAAACCAAAGGTCGCGCAAAGTACCCATGAAGTCACTGAGACCGAGGGTTGGGTCCAGTCATCTAAGACGGGATGATACTAGTGTTGATGATACTGTTATAGTGTTATCTATCAACGCAGGATAGTAGGCGTGGATTTGAGGAAATAAAATTATGGCGGGAAAATGCGAAGGACCGGCGATCGGAATCTACTTGGGCACGACATACTCAAGGGTCGGAGTGTGGCGAGACAACCGTGTAGAGATTATCGCGGATGAGCACGGGAATAGAACGACCAGGGGCGGATCCAGGAATTCGGGATACCTTGGGCTGAAAAACAATTATACTAGGTTTAAACATTACTGGGATGGGCTAAATATGAAAATTTAAAAAAATTACACTAAAAAAATGGGGGGGGGGGAAATTAAGTTGCCCGGGACTTCAGCCCACCATAGTCCATACATAGATCCTCCCCTGAGAACGACGTCGTCCTGCGTCGCGTTCACGGACACCGGCCTTCTCGTTGGTGAGGCCGCCGAAAAGGCAGCCCCCTGAACCCCACTAACACCGTCTTTGGTACGTTCCTCACCTTTTTCTTCTTATCAATAGTATATTCTCATTCAGTTTAGCTAGCAAACCTTACTTGGTCTAACGCAAGAGAAATATGACTGTTGGATGTGTTTCGGAAAATAAAGAAAATTAATTAAAATAAATTAATTAAATAAAATGACGAAAGAAAAAGAAGAAAGGAGATGAAGCAGAATTTGTCAAAGCTCGTGCTACGCACGATGTCCTTAAAACGTATTTGTTGCCTCCCACGGTGCTAGGAGCGTTGCAACAATAGTTTCCCAGGATACGATGACAACGAACTAGTGTTTGAGCACTCAAACAAAAGTTCCAGCGAACGAGAACAAAGACTGAACACAGAAGGAATTTTCAGAGTGCTAGCAGTGTGTTTTTAGAGCTAAAACGTGTATGGATTCGTGTAAGAACGTGTAATAATGTGTGTTGTTGCAAACCACCTGCCAGCCATTATATAGGAGGATTTGTTGTGTGTAAATGGTGAATTAATGGACCTGAACGTTGGACATCAATGACCAGTCCGTTGGGCATTGAATCGTCCATGAACTGTCCATTTAACGCTGCATTAAAAGATATAAACGTTGGGCATTAATTGTTGTAACGTTTCAGAAGCGCGACAGAAGACCTCCATCAGAACACCCTGGGAGGGGTTCTGATCGGAGGCCAATCAGAAGACCCCAACTCTGATCCGCGGCCATCAGAATACCCCCAACTCTGATGGGCGGCCATCAGAATACCCCATGAGGTGTTCTGCCATCAGAACACCAACGAGGTGTTCTGATCCGTAGGCACTTCTGCCGCTGGGAAAAAATTAAACGTTTCGGGAAGAAAACAAAAATTAATCGTATCTCTTGAGAGATAGATTTTTGGACGACATTCGTGTCCGCAGGTCGCCCGCGCACGCAAGTCGCGGTTTTTCTTCTCCGAATTCGGGATTTGATTTGCACCCCCCCCTCCTGCGCGCGTGGAGAGAGCTTTTACCCTTAAGAATCTTAACTCCATAAGGGGGGAGTCCCTTTATAAAGGGTAGCAAATCCCTTGGGTTTTCCGGTGTGGGAAATTAACACACTAGAAACCCATCCTTTTTCCCTTCTAACGGGTAAACTTCGAAAAACGATTTCTCATTCACCCGTTATCCGTTTTGAGCGTACCATATATCGAATTGTAGCCCTAAGCAAGGACAATCCGAAACCACTTTGACCCGACCCAAATCGGAAGTGGACCCCGCTCAAAAAATTGCCCCAAAATAGCCATTTAATGCAATTTTTCACACATTTTTCCAACATATGACTTCTAAAGAATATAGAATAAGAAAGTTGGGAAATGGATAAATATTCAACAATATAAGAATATTTGTTATACATGCACAGACTTTTCATTTATATGTATGCACATTTTTTTACCATATTCCTTGTTTAGTAAATCATTAATAAATACGAAGTATATTCTACATGTTCAAATTTAGAATTTGTTACACATCTATATACATATAAAAAGGGAACCGTATGTCCCATAACCGTTCCCGCTTAGGCAATTTACGAGCTCTTAACCGTTGCTTTTGTTTTCTGATTTTGGTAACTGTATTGGGCATTACTCCGTATTAATTTGTAAATTTTAACAGTCCCATCATTCTAAATCAGTTATTTACTGCTTGCATCCCTTTAATCATTATATTCTTTTGTTCTCCGAAGTATTTTCATTATGGATAAGTTCACTGTCTTATTCAAATTGTTTCGAGAACGTTTATAAATCACATGTATTATTTCATTTGTTTATCAATAATGAGAGGAATAATTTCAGTAGAAATAATGGGGTTTGAAGCTTTGGTTTTCCATGAGCAATAAAAATACCCTGCAAAAAAAAAGATGTGAAATATGCATACAACGGTACTACGTATGAGATAGATGTATCTTCATAGAATCACATAAACAGTAAACTTATACCTTTTTGGGCCAAAATGTTGCTACTCTGAGATTTGGGGTGTTTGTTTGTTTAACTACTATAGGGGGGGCACTGGTCCTGAAGGATATGTCGCGGCATAGCAGCCGGCCCGCGTGAACGGGTGGTAAAAACGGTCGGGTTTCGGTAAGATTTCCAAATCTCATACGTGATATGGGTCTTATATATGATAAAACATCATTGACAGGTTGTAATAGTGTAAATGTGTAATACTACCTCCCTCCCAATTTACTTAGACAACTTTGACATTTTCATACTATTTTCATATTATCAATACTTTCTCTATATAAACATATAATCGGTCAAAGTTAGACGTCATTTGACTTGAAAAGTCGAGTTTGACTAAGTAAAATGGGACGGGCGGAGTATGTTTTGATCATTTGATGCATAAACAAGACACACAAAAAAACATTTTTTAATTTATAAATTCTAAATGACCAGTCTTGACGAATAAACATCACATTTCAAAAATTAGATAGATTGGAAATTGTAGCATATGAAACATATAATGAAATTAGAAATAACAATTCAAATCATACTCCTATATATTAGTTAGTTCATGTGGGTTAGTCACTGTGATGGAAAAAACTGTTTTATATAACTTGGGTCAATAACAAAATCATATTCAAATTAAGGGAAATATAATTCAAATTGAAACCAACATACCTCATAAACAGTGGAGCATGCTTCCAGAAATGTACGTAGTATATGAGAAGAGGCGTTGGTTAAGTAGAGAAATCTATAGAGCTCTGGGCCGGGATCTTAGGGTTAATGTGAAAATGGGATGCTCTAGAAAGCAGAGTATTGGGCTAAATTTAACATGGCCCAGTAAAAATTATGGAGTAAGGAATAAGAATGATTTTATTTGGATGGTTTTCAGTTCCATATTACACTATATCAGATTAGACAGTACCAAATATGACAGATTCAGACCAAATCAAATTCGGATAGTTATAAAATGCATTTACATCATAAATTTATTATATTAGACTTGACGAGTTCAGATCAAACATTTATTATATCAGACCTGACGAGTTCATATTTGACTAGACCTGACCAGAACATTTCGATCCAATTAAAAACATATTAAGGAATACCCATACTACATTTTTTTATGTTATACACCGGTAATTTCAAGCATATAAAATAATGGTGCGTGCATATAGTTATCTCTTGATCCTCAGTTCCTCATGTCCTACCAACAGTCAAAATCACAAAATATAATAGTGACCGCTATGGAAGTCATATGTTATTTCGTAAAATGAGAAATTAAATTTAATGTAACAACAAATATTATTAATAGATTATTTTCATTTAGTATAAAAGCATTTGGTGAATGTTTTTTTTAACTCACTTACATTCAAACTAAGCATATCTTTATTACTTTAAAATAATCACACACAAAATATAAACATATTATTGTCCGTGCGATGCACGGGTAAAATACTAGTTAATATATAACTAAGCACCAAATGCATTACATTTCTAGCAATGCATTGTGTTTCCCTTATGAAATGACACAATATTACTAGGAAATAATATCATAAAAATTTACTAATATTTTCTAAAGGAACTAGTTTATCACGGAATCCTATAAGAAGAAAGACAGTTACATAGATTGTTTTTCTTAATTTCTCTTGAAGCGGATCCAATATGCGAATTTGATTGAAGTTACTGAGTTTTCAACACACTTGTGAATTTTTGTAACAGAGATAATGAGACATGTAAAGTAATAGGGAAAAGAGTGATGGGTTTTAGAGAGATAAAGTTTAAAGATGACGAATACCTTGATTAGAACCATTATGGCTCTAGAGTTTTTAGACGCTTGTTAGCTAGTGATGGTTTAAATCCCTATCGAGATGGCATTTGTGATTTGTTCTTTGATACATTTTAATGTTACTTTTGGGTGTTAATACATATTTACATCTCATTCTAAAATCCGAAAAAGTGTGATTTTGTATACATTAATGACGTGTTTGCAAAATTTGTAGAACTTTGGATGAAGTAGTTGAATTGACTGGATTTGTTAAATGGTTCTCTTAATCACTTTCGTTCAATTCAACCAACAAAATAACTTCATTGGCAAGGAAAATTTAGTTCATCGAGAGGATTATTAATTAACCGTTAAAACTGCTAAGTCGAAAACAAAAGTTGGGGAAAACATTTGCTTGATGAAATTCAGATGTGATTAGAGCTATCCCTTAACGTTGAATTACTATAGATGTTAAGTGCTTGATTGGGAGGAGGTTCAGCGATCCCTTCGTACAGAGTGACATGAAGTTATGGCCATTTAAGGTAATTGCTGGTCTCTGTGACATACCAATGATAGTAGTGACATACAAGGGCGAGGAAAAACAGTTTTCGGCAGAGGAAATCCTATCCATGGTTCTAACAAAGATGAAGGAGAATGCTGAGACTTATCTTGGAACCAGAATAAAAAATGTAGTGGTCACTGTCCCCGCTTACTTCAATGACTCCCAGCGACGGGCCACGAAGGATGCTGGAACTATCTCCGGTCTCAATGTTATGCGTATCACCAATGAACCCTCTGCAGCTGCAATTGCATATGTTCTGGACAAGAAAGAAAGCAGCTCGGGCAAGAAGAACGTCCTCATCTTCGACCTTGGCGGTGGTACTCTTGATGTGTCTCTTATCACAATAGAAGACATCATCTTGGAGGTCAAGGCCACTGCAGGTGACACTCATTTGGGAGGTGAGGATTTCGACAACAGAATGGTGAACCACTTTGTTCAGGAATTCAAGAGGATACACAAGAAGGATATCGATGGAAACCCTATGGCATTGAGGAGGCTGAGGACAGCATGCGAGATGGCAAAGAGGACTCTGTCCTCCACTGCTCAGACCACCATTGAAATTGCTGTGTTGTTTGATGGCATTGATTTCCACACTACCATTACGAGGGCTAGGTTTGAGGAACTTAACATGGATCTGTTCAGAAAGTGTATGGAACGAGTTGAAAAGTGCTTGAGAGACGCGAAGATGGACAAGAGCAGCGTCCATGATGTTGTCCTTGTAGGTGGGTCCACTAGGATCCCCAAAGTTCAACAACTGCTGCAGGATTTCTTCAATGGCAAAGAGCTCTGCAAGAGCATCAACGTGGATGAAGCTGTTGCATGTGGAGCTGCTGTCCAGGCTGCTATTCTGAGTGGAGAAGGGAACCAGAAGGTTCAAGACATGTTGCTGTTGGATGTCACTCCCCTCTCCCTTGGTCTGGAGACAGCTGGCGGTATTATGACCGTTTTGATCCCGAGGAACACAACCATCCCCACCAAGAAAGAGGAGATCTTCTCCACATACTCAGATAACCAGCCGGGTGTTCTGATCCAAGTCTATGAAGGAGAGAGGGTCAGGACAAAGGATAACAACCTGTTAGGCAAATTTGAGCTTTCTGGCATTCCGCCTGCCCCCAGGGGTGTCCCGCAGATCACTGTCTGTTTTGACATTGATGCCAATGGCATTCTAAATGCCTCAGCTGAAGACAAGACGACAGGCCAGAAGACTAAGATCACCATCACCAACGATAAGGAAAGGCTCTCAATTGATGAGATTCACAGGATGAAGGTATTTTCTCTTTGTCATTCTCTAGCTTCTTCCACTGAGTTTATAAGATTTGTCTCATCATTTTACTTCCTATGTTTATTGTATGATATTGGCTCGCGCAATAAAGATGTATCTACTAAGCAAGTCATATTTGTTTTACACAACCCCAGATTAATTTACTTATTTACGTACACAGCTTCGAGTGCCAAATCTGTGTAGTCAAGAGGAGGCCTCCAAGGAAAACATTTCCAAGAAATCTTCGCAGAGGTTTTCCCGTATCACTTCAGTCCTCCAAATGGAGGAAGATATCAAAGAACTCACCAAGAGATGGGTGTCACCAGAGGACCAGCAAGTGTTAGGGTCTCTCGAAGTCCCCGATTTAGTGGGAGGTACAATGCGTTCCTGGACTGAGGTTAGCTTCTATCTCTCACTCATTCACTCTCTATTCAACCTTGATTGAGCACGCCATTAATATTTCGTCCCTGACTTTTTTTCAGGCTTTACTCCATTGCATACAATTTTATGAAATGAGTAACCAGAAGATGGAGATCCACCAAAAAAGGATTGTCGAGCTGGAGAAAGAAAACACAGCCCTCTTCGGCAAGATTGAGGAGTACAGGGAGCAAATTGAGGCATGGAAACATAAGGCTCAAACTTCTGCAATCGAGGCTGTGAGTGCTTTTAAAAAGTCTCAGGAGTATGCCCAAGCCATGGAAGATGCGGGGAGGGCCCGGATGAAAGACATTGTACATGAGTGGCTGAAGGCTGAAGAGGGCCGGGATAAGAGCTCTGGACAAACTCCCCCTTCCACTCAAAACTGACACTCCGTGATATTGTCTTACAACTAACCGGAATAGAACTACTTGTATTAGTTTTGACAGTTGGGAAAATGCACTAGTGGCTCATGCGATTAACTTTGATCAAAAGTTGTGATTTTTGAAACATGATCGCACCACTTATGCATTTTATAAGACTAGTATTTTTGTACATTTTTGTTCTGTTTGGACATATAGCATGGTCTCTTAAAGGCAAGCCTTTTTGTACACATGGCTTTGTTCTTTTTTTGGATACATCGGAATGGTCCCATGGCTTTGTTCTTTACCAATACGGTTTACTAAGAGCATTGGTGCATAATTGGTGCATTGGTGATGAGGTGTGGCAAATAATGAAAACATTCTATGTGATATGTATGCCATGCATTTAAAGAAAGAGAGTATATCAAGACTCCAATGCAGAAATAAGGAAACCAAATAAAACAAGAAAAGAAAAGAAAAATGCTTGGTGTACACCTTTTGTGTACACTTGTCTGTCTTTCGCAGACAAATTGTCTCACAGACTCACACACAACTCATATTAAGTTGTCTGTGATAGACAACTTTTTTTGCGAAGGACAGACAGGTGTACACAGAAGGTGTACACTTTTTGTGTACTCATACCAAAACTCAAAAGAAAAATAAATAAAAAAGAGAACAGCTCAGTGCAATAAAGTAACTGGTTACCAATAACCCAATGTACATAGCCATACAGGCCAATAATTTTGCTTTTAGCTTTGTTAAAAGGCGGCACCACCGAAGGTCCCAACATGGTTGATTATACAATTAAACTCAGCTAGACTAGGTCGATCAACTATGTTTTGCATGGAAGATGAGACTTTCATATAAAAATACATTTGATGGGGTAGAATCACAATAAGTTATTCACCTCTCCATTGGAGATGCTTTAAGAGTCAATGTCATTCAATTTTCATTTGCTTCACTAAAGGGACGGATTCATGAATTTGGTTTAGACTTGACTGAGCAGAAATTATACTAGATTTAAGTATTAGAGAAGTAAGCTAAATATGAAAAATAAAAAAATTTACACCAAAAAATTTGGGAAAAAATTAAGTTGCACTGGGGTTCAGCCCGCTATAGTCTATACTTAGATGCAAAGCGAAGCTCGCTCCGTTGCTAAGACATGTCGCTTTTTTAAAAACATGTATTTCGTTCGAGTCATTTTTGTCAAAAAAGATTAAACCTTGAACAACTCGCTCAGAGATGAATCTAGGGGGACTGTTCCCCTTTGAACTTAATTCTTATTAATTACGTATGTGTCTGCCCCCTTAACTTTTAGTTTTCAAAATTATTTTATAATGCTACACAATGCTCCTTTATGAATTGTAACACTGAATACTTAATAGGAGCTATAAAAGAACAAAAATCTAATATAGTTAATCTTGATGAACTATTTTGGTTTAAGTATGGATCATTTTCTTCCTGAAGGTCAATTTTTTTAAAATTTCTTTACGTTGACAAATAAATGATAGCACAATTCATCATGTAAAACTTAAATTACTTATTCTATAAAACACATATTTTATACTCCCTCCATCCCGAATTGAATTGCAAACTTTGACCGACACAAGAATTAAGGAATGACAATAAATAATTCTTGTTTCTTACATTTTTTCTGATCATACTAAAAGTAGATGCTTTTAAGTTAATGGATAAAAAGTAAAAGTAGTACTCCCTCCGTCCCGTAATTAAGTTCACAATTTGACTTCACACAGATTAAGAAAATAAATTTGACTTACTGTGGAGTGTACTGTTTTGCACTGTTTAAATACTGTTTGTCACTGTTTGACACTTTTTTATGTAGATTATTTTCCAAATAAGGAAAATTTTGAAGTGTGAAGTTAATTTTGGGACTGCCCGAAAAGGAAAGTGAGAAGTTAATTTTGGGACGGAGGGAATAGTAAATTTATCACTTTATCCTCGTTTACATACCTAAAATAGAAAGTGGAAAATCATTTTGAGACAACCAAAATGGGAAATTTTACAAATCAAATTTGGAACCAATTACGGAGGAGTATTGTTAATTCCAATTATCTTGACGCTTGATGGATTCAGCTGGTTTTGCACTCAAGAAATAAATATATAAATAAATAAATAGACAGTGAATAAAAAAATTGCCACTACCAATCATTAATTCAACATTTTGCATCACTACAATAGCATTCGACCAAGCAAAGTTATGAAATCATTCTGAAATCCAATCGGAAGTGCAATCATCGAAAACCAGAACGACGTGCAACTCCAAAGGTCATTTTGAAGCAAAGTTATGAAGTCGGATCAACAAGCAAATTTAATTTTCCCCTTTAAATCCCCGGCAGCCTCGCCGTTTCCACTCCGCAATCCACTTTCGTTTTCGTCGAGCTCTTCCAAAGCTCGATTTTTTCCCATACATCGAGCTTTCCGATGTACTGATAAGGTTTTGAGGAAACATAGTCATGGCCGGAAAAGGCGAAGGACCGGCCATTGGAATCGACTTGGGTACGACGTCCGCCTGCGTTGCAGTCTGGCAACCCCAACACGACCGTGTAGAAATCATAGCTAACGACAACGGCAGCAGAAGGACGCCGTGTTGCGTCGCGTTCACGGAAACTGAGCTTTTCATTGGGGATGCCGCCAGGAACCAAATCTCCATGAACTCCATTAATACCGTTTTCGGTACGTATTTGCCATTTTTATCTGTGCATATATTCTTCTAGTTCCGTGCACAACACCCCCAAATCTTCAGACCAGCTGTTTCTATTGATGGAATCTGATTGTGATTTGAACACACTCTTTAATTTTTTTTAGATGCTAAACGATTGATTGGGAGGAGATTTAGTGATCCATCAGTGCAGAGTGGTAAGAAGTTATGGCCTTTCAAGGTAATTGCCGGACCTGGTGATAAGCCAATGATTGTAGTGACACACAAGGGTGAGGAGAAGCAATTTTCTGCGGAGGAAATCTCATCTATGGTTTTAAGAAAGATGAAGGGGATTGCAGAGGCTTATCTGGGAACCCCAATCAGGAATGCAGTTATCACTGTTCCTGCTTATTTCAACGAGTCCCAACGGCAGGCTACTAAGGATGCTGCAGTAATCTCCGGCCTCAATGTCATGGGCATCATCAGCGAACCCACTGCAGCTGCCATTGCACTTGGGTTGGACAAGAAAAAAGCCAGACGTTGGAAGAAGAACGTGCTCATCTTTGATCTGGGCCGTGTTACGTTTGATGTATCATTGGTCAAAATTGATGAGAGTTCCTGTCAGATTATGGCTGTTGAAGGTGACCCTCATTTAGGGGGTGTAGATTTCAATACCATAATGGTAAACCACTTTGTCCAGGAGTTCAAGAAGAAGCACAAGACGGATATCAGTAGAAACCCAAAGGCATTGAGGAGGCTGAGGACAGCATGCGAGAGGGCAAAGAGGATGTTGTCTTCTCATTCTGAGACTACCCTTGTAGTTGATTATTTGATCCAAGGCATTGGTTTTTACTCAACCATGACAAGGGCAATGTTTGAGGAACTGAACAAGGACTCGTTCAGTAAGTGTATGGACCTTGTTGAAAAGTGCTTGAGAGATGTTGGGTTGGATAAGAGAAACGTTGATGATGTTGTCCTTGTGGGTGGATCAACTAGGATTCCTAAGCTGCAGGAATTGCTTCAGGAGTTCTTCGAGGGCAAAAGGCTTTGTACTAATTTCAACCCAGATGAATTGGTTGCCTGCGGTGCTGCTATGCATGCTGCATTTCTTAGCAGAAATGGAATCTACAAGGTTTTCTATGTATTCCTACTTAATGCTACTCTTTCTATCCCATGAAACTTGGCCAAATTGATTTTTTTTTATCGAAGAATTTAAAATTTGGTCAATGAGTTTGGTTATTATATTTTTTGTCAAAATGATAAGTTTTTTTATGGGATAATCCCGACTATCTCATATGTGCAGTTTGAAATGCCGGTGAGGTCTTGACCTAAGGACATTGTCAAGGATGGCATAGAAATGTCTTCCACGAATTCCAAAACCAGTTCTTCCTCCCATTCCTCTGACCACAAAAGGAATGAAAATGATACCCTGGATTTCTCAAAGAAGAGTTTGGGCTGTGCCCTGCATGCAGAAGCTTTAACCTCCTCCATGCTCCAGCGTGGTGTTGATTTTAAGGAGTTCACTAAAGGATGGCTGCCCCCACAGGACCAGCAACTGTTGGGGTCTCTCAAGCTCCCCACTTTAGAGGAAGGTATAATGCGCCGAAGTGTTGAGGTTAGCATTTCTTTCTCTATCCCTCGCTGACATGTTTATTCAGGCTTTGTTCTGGTTCATGGAATTATCTGAAAGGAACAACCAGGATATGGAGCTCCACCTGAAAAGGATTTCGCAGTTGGAGCAGGACAACAAAGACCTCTTAACTAACATTCAGATGAAACAGTGGGGGATGGAGGACTATAAGGAGCAGATGAACATCTGGAGAGAACAAGCAGAGGCCTCTAGGACCGAAGTGTTGAAGAGCAACCGTGAGATGGAGTCTCAACGTAAAAGAATTGTGATTTTGGAGAATGTAAATAAGAGTCTCCTATGTAAGATGGAGAGGAAATTGAGGGAAGTTATGGAAGCCAAAAACTTGGTGGCGGAGGGATACAAGGATCAAATGAAGAAGTTGTCAGAGCAGGCTAGGGTGATGGAGAGCCAACGGAAAAGGATTGTTCAGTTGGAGCAGGACAACAGAGGCCTCTTACGCAAGATGGAGATGAAACAGAGGGAGGTTACGGAAGCCAAAAGATTGGCCAAGATCTCTGAAACAGAGGCTGTGAATGCTTTCAAAACGTCTGACGAGTATAATCAGGGGATAGAGGACGCAGTGAGGGCTCGGTTAGAAAAAGTCGCTCCAGAATTGCTGAAAATAGGAGGGGGGCGGTAGAAGATCTGTGGAAAAACATTTCTATCCCAAGGAAGAAAATGGGGTGCACGGTCTCAAACTTGGAAGTTAGAATCCTCCAAACATTAATTAGAAAATGTGAGGTGCAACCTCCAATTCTCCCCTTTTGAGTTTTCTTCTTGAATGTAAGCTTGAATGTAGCTTACTTTCACCTACTTACCATGTAAGCTTAAAGCCTTAAAGCATAACTCATGTAACAAAGACTGGACTGCTTAATTTATCTCTACATATCTGAGTTTCACCACCTTAGGCACCTTTACAATATCTTGTTAAATCTGAATTCCACCTGTTGTAATTAGGATCTAAATCAACCAACTAATTAACCTTCCCGAGTAAACGTGAGTTATTTAAACGATGGAACATCACTAGTTCACTAAAGCCAAGGCATAGAGATTCTTTTGGATATTGATAATGCAAGAATGGAATAATTTTGTTAACAAATTTACAAACAGTTCAAGCAACTTGTGAATTAAAGCTTCTACATTTTTACTATCTTAGCTAAAAAAATCTTGTGGATAATTTTTTTTAGGATTAAAAAATTCAAGTTATGGTAGTTGAACAAAGTCATTAGCAGTGTTCAAGCTACTTGTGAATTACAGCTTTTGTTTTGTTTTGTTTTGTTTTGTTTTGTTTTTTTGTTAATTCTTAGACCATTTGCAATCCAGGGGTGGATACGATAGATTTGATGTTTTCACCCTCAAATTCCATACAATCCTTGTATTTGAGGAGGGGATAATGGATTGGTGAAACCTTGGGTGTGGGAATAACCATCTGTGTATTCACTCCACTCCAAATAATAAACGAAGTTGCTGACTAAAATTAATTGACATTCCAAAAATATTTATTTAATGGATAGATGAATGGCTGTGGTTAATTGAAACCCATTTCAACGGGAATAAAAATGATCCAAGGGTTAAGTTTAAAACTCAACGGTAGTAAGGATTTATGAATTTAATTAAGAAAAACTATGTTGGGTGAAAATATTGACGGTGCTGGATTGCAGAGAAAAATTAGATTGGCTGGGTGAATAACACTTTTTTGTAAAAACTGATTGGAAACTTAATTTATTGACGGAGCAGAGTTGCGGATAGTCTTAGGGGAAGAAAACAATCCTAGTGTCTCACTGTTTATGAGACCGTTTGGTAGTTCAGTTTTTCGACTTATCAGACTTATTATCCAACTTTTTCGCCAAACATATAATTTTTATTTCGCGCGCTAAATTACGTAATAATAAAAATAAGTAAGGTTGAAGTTACTTTTCTGACTGTATTAGCTGAAGTTACATTTGAGAAAATGCTCTTAGGACGTGTCATGCGTGAGAAATTAGGTTGATCAGATGGAGTAAAAAACTTAGTGAAACCCCAAATCTGTATCTTTATCACATTGAATGCCAACTTCTCAAAAAAATGCTCTCAGGACGTGTGAGAAGTTAGGTTGATCAGGACGTGTGAGAAGTTAGGTTGATCAGGACGTGTGAGAAGTTAGGTTGATCAAGACGTGTGAAAATGCTCAAGTCATGCCTGATCATTTATTCTGATTAAGGTAATCCAGCACCTGTTTTGAAATTGGACAAGTAGAAGGCTGGAGAAACACCTGTTTTTATGGTTTTGCATTACACTTGATACAACCTGGAATCTCCAACTGCTACTAACATGAATGGAATCAAACTTTTTTCCCTGGTAGCATTTATTAAGATTTGGGATTCCATCCTAAAAGGTCAACCTGTTAGGAGGAGGAGCCCAAGTCTTTATATGTTGGTTTGTATTTCTATACACAACCGGTGTGGGATGACTTAATATGCCCCGCAAGATGGCCGCTCGTTGGAGCTGACCAATCTTGTAGTCCGTGTGGTCGTTGTTGAGGCTTACCAGGATCTAATTACTCGTTGGAGCTTAATTTGATGTGATACCATATTAAGCTATCTCACACCGGTTGCGTATAGAAATACAAATCAACATATAAAGCCCCGAGCTACTCCTCCTAACAGGTTAAGCTTTTAGGATGGAACCTCAAATCTTAATATGATATGAGAGCAAATTAAGCTTCAACATGTAGTAGTACTACACTTTCGCAAAATCAATTGGTCTGAAATCAGTATTGGGCAGGAAGTAGATCATGTTCAGCCCTAGCTGTGAGACTTGAAAATGTGATAGGTATATATGTGTTATATATACTTAAGAATGTAGATATAAATATTTTTTATTTTATTGTTGCGACCATTATATGTGTGTGTGATATTATTATACTTCATCCATCCCGTTAAGATTGTTTCATCTTTTTTTCGTTGCGTGTCATTATAAACCTATTTTTCGTAATTACTGTACCAAATCCTCATGTCTAACTCGTTACTAAATTGATGAGATTTTTTTAGTTAAAAAATGGCTCTTAACATTAGATCACTTCAATGATTCACAATTTTTTACCCGCACGGGTAGCTCAGTTGGTCGAGTGGTGGGAGATTTAGATCAATTGACCAATGTTCGAATCCCCGTAGCGACCGGGTGGAGGTCACAGAACCTGAAATAAGGCTGGGCCTCTGGTGCGCACGGGTGTATGGGCCTACTGCCACTTGCTGACTGAGTCACCGTGACTAACCTCTTGACCATCCTGTCGAGTCGGGGTGGGGGCTCCTGGAGTGGGAGCTTCCACCTTTTGGATCAATGTGTGTTCAGAGTCCCTAGGGTAATCATGACGATGAACACACCAATTAATGGAGTACCATACGAAATACAGACTACATAATAAAGATTAATGATAAAGATTAATGAGCATATCTTTATATAATATCTTTATCTTTATCTTTATATAATATAAAGTAACAGTCTTTGCACAACAATTAGAGGGAAAAATCCCGCCCAAATTAGACTCATAATAATAGGGAATTAATGCTTAGCAATGCATTTCAAGCAAAATCCGCCCAAATGTATTCATTGTCATAACTTTGGACAATAAATGCTTAAGAATACTCCATATTGATAATAAATGCTTAAGAATACTCCATATTGATTAAGACCAAAAAAATACCGTAAGAGCGTCTACATTCATGCTATTCGAATAAACTGTTTTTCTAGTACACGTAATTGCCACATCATTCATACACATTAAATTTTGAATAATCTCATAGCTTAAAATTATTCGTCAACAGTGATATTCACATCATTAGTTTTTCTTGGAAATGCATTAAATGCGTTTTAACTATAATCTACAATAATCTGGGATTTGGATCTTGATACCGGATTTTCTTTTTAAATAATCCACCTAAATAATCTCTTTCCCTCAATGTTAATCTTCAAAATAATCTGACACATCATCTAATTAATCTTCAAATAAACTCACCAATGGGGATGCTCTAAGTCCAAGAAATGGAAAG